TTAGGGTTTCCAAGTTTATTAGCATCAAAATAGTTTGTTAGTTATATATAAAAATATTTAATTAGTTTGTTAGTTAAATAGTTTAAGTTATATTTGTTTGTTGAATTTATATTATATAAAAAATTTAGTTAATTAGTTAATTAGTTTAAGTTATATTATAATAAAAAACAGTTTATTAGTTAATTTAAGTTATATAAAAGAATTAGTTTGTTAGTTTGTTAGTTTAGGGTTTAGGATTTATAGTTTAGTGTTTATGGTTTAATGTTTAGTGTTTAGGATTTAAGGTTTCCACTAATGTTACATATACTATAAACCCTAAACCCTAACCTTAAATCATAAACTATAAATCTTATACCATAAACCCTAAACAATAAACCTTAAATCCTAAATTATAAACCCTAAACCCTAAACTAACAAACTAAATTATAGTTTAGGGTTTAAGGTCTAAGGTATAGTATTTAAGGTTTATTGTTTAGGGTTTATAGTTTTTGGTTTTGGTTTAGGGTTTATAGACTAAGGTTTATAGTTTATGATTTAAGGTTAGGGTTTAGGGTTTATAGTATATGCAACACGAGTGGAAACCTAAAACCTTAAATCCTAAACACTAAACACTAAACCTTAAATCATAAACTATAAACCCTAAACCCTAAACCATAAACTATAAACCCTAAACTAACAAACTATAAACCCTAAATCATAACTTAAACGTGAATTTTCCCCTTAAACAACTAATACACTATTCTTTTATATAACTTAAACTAACTAATGAACTATTTTTTATTATAATATAACTTAAACTAATTAACTAATTAACTAAATTTTTTATATAATATAAATTCAACAAAAATATAACTTAAACTATATAACTAACAAACTAATTAAATATTTTTATATATAACTAACAAATTGTTTTTGATGCTAATAAAATCGGAAACCTAAAACCCTAAACTCTAAATTATAAACCCTAAACTAATAAACTAACAAACTAAATTTTTTAAAATATAAATGAAATAACTAAGAAACTATTTTTTATTATAACATAACTTAAATTAATTAACTAAATTTTTTAAATAATATAAATTCAACAAACAAATATAACTTAAATTATTTAACTAACAAACTATTAAAGTTAGTTCAGATTTTAAAATTTCAATAGTTCTATCAATCGGACATATAGAATTAGTTTTAATAATTTCTTATCAAATTAGAATTTAATATATATATATATAATTGTATACAATTAAAGTTTATGTATAATATATTAAATTAAAATTTTAAAATAATGTTGATTTTTATTTCTAAATTTATATAAAAATAATCTAATTTTGATGCAGTCAGGATTCAAGAAATATCCAAAAGAAAATTCATAAAATAATAATAATAATGATACTTTTTTATTCACAAAACAATAGGAGTATTATTGTATTGTGTTCTTGAAAGAACTAACCGTTGGCCAAAAACAAAAGCTAAAATAGCAAAGGACAATGGTGGTCCCCAAGAGCCATTTGTAAGGCTAAGATAACGTATAAAAACAAGAAACAGAGCAAATGTTCATATATCGCGGGGCGTGCATGGCGACCTTTGTTTGGTCGTTTTGATTACATGGCAACCTGTTTGGTCGTTTTGATTACATGGCGACCTGCAAGATTACTGTAACAATAACCCCATTTCAAAAAATAATTTTTCAACAGCAATATTTGACGAATTTTTTTTCAACGCATTATCTAAAAAATTTAGCTGTTCAACACTTGGGCCACATGGGATATATTGGTTGTTAGACACCATATTATTATTGTTATGGTAAAGTATATAAATATTTATTAAATTATATTAAAATAATTTTTTATTATTGAACCTATTAAGTAGTTTCAATGATCAAATGAGAATGTTGTTTTCTTTAGAGATCATGAGTTCGAGCAACTCTTTCTACAGGGTGTGTACGCGTTATTACTGGTTAACTTCCGACCTTAGATAATTGTTAATTTTCAACGAAATGAATAATCGGGCACCATCTGTGTACTTTACTCTTATTATAAATATATTGATCAAATTAGTATAAAATGATCACTAAAACTTATCAAACTATTACAAGTGATCTTTAAACTTACTGAAATTTATAACTATTTTGTAACACGCAATGACCATTTTATAATGGCTTGATAAATTTAATGATTATGTTATAACAAACATCAATAACCAAAATATTTTTTTACCGCAATTTAATGATCATTTGTGTACGTTATCGTTGTTTATGATTGTTTTGTATATATATATATATATCCAAATTCAAATTTAACAATCATTTTATAACTTTTGAAGTTTCAAGGACATAAAAAAATCTCATTAAACAATCTAAATGGTTAACGGAAATATTGTTCTTTCTAGAGGTCTTAGGTTCAAACAACTGGATATGTAAGGTGTGTGTATGTTATTAATGATTAAGAAAAATTCTAAATCGGTGATATATTGTAATTATCCTATACTATTTATAAAAAAATAATATTTTAAAATATATTATTAAAATACAATATACAACAAATAATAAGTAACTATTGATTTTGTGAACCCTAAACCCTAAAATATTTTGGTTGTTACTAAAAACCTTTATAAATTCATGATATGTTGAGGGCAATGAAAGGGGTAGAGGATGGTGATATCTACCATGATGAAGGTTACATATTTGTTTTTATAAGAAGAAATTGATTGGAAGGAGAATGGTTAGGGTTTAGTGTTTAGTGTTCACGGTTTTTAGCAATAACCAAAATATTTTAGGGATTAATGTTCGCAAAATCAATATACAACAAATAATTTGGGTTTATTGTTTATGGTTTGCAAAAATATTTTAGAGTTTAAGGTTTAATGTTTAGGTCTATGGTTTAGGGTTTAGAGTTTAAGGTTTAAGGTTAAACTTACTAAAATTTATAACCCTAAGCCCTAAATCCTAAAATATTTTATGAACCTTAAACTCTAAACCCTAAACCTTAAAATATTTTGGTTGTTGATAAAAATCCTAAACCCAATTATTTGTTATATATTGATTTTTGCAAACCCTAAGCCCTAAGCCCTAAAATATTTTGGTTGTTATTAAAAACCCTAAACCCTAACCATTCCCCCTCCAATCAATTTCTTCTTATAAAAATAAATATGTAACCACCATCATGGTAGATATCACCATCCTCTACCCCTTTCATTGCCCTCAACATACCATGAATTTATAAAGGTTTTCAGTAACAATCAAAATATTTTAGGGTTTAGGGTTCACAAAATCAATAGTTACTTATTATTTGTTGTATATTGTATTTTAATAATATTTTTTAAAATATTTTTTTATAAATAGTATAGGATAATTACAATATATCATCGATTTAGAATTTTTCTTAATCATTAATAACATAGACACACCTTACATATCCAGTTGTTTGAACCTAAGGCCTCTAGAAAGAACAATATTTCCATTAACCATTTAGATTGTTTAATGAGATTTTTTTTATGTCCTTGAAATTTCAAAAGTTATAAAATGATTGTTAAATTTGAATTTGGATATATTTATATATATACAAAATAATCATAAACAACGATAACGTACACAAATGATCATTAAATTGTGGTAAAAAATATTTTGGTTATTGATGTTTGTTATAACATAATCATTAAATTTATCAAGCCATTATAAAATGGTCATTGCGTGTTACAAAATAGTTATAAATTTCAGTAAGTTTAAAGATCACTTGTAATAGTTTGATAAGTTTTAGTGATCATTTTATACTAATTTGATCAATATATTTATAATAAGAGTAAAGTACACAGATGGTGCCCGATTATTCATTTTGTTGAAAATTAACAATTATCTAAGGTCGGAAGTTAACCATTAATAACGCGTACACACCCTGTAGAAAGAGTTGCTCGAACCTATGATCTCTAAGGAAAACAACATTCTCATTGATAATTGAAACTACTTAATAGGTTCAATAATAAAAAATTATTTTAATATAATTTATTAAATATTTATATACTTTACCATAACAATAATAATATGGTGTCTAACATCCAATATATCACATGTGGCCCAAGTGTTGAACCATTAATAAAAATAAAAATATTTTATTATTAATGGATTTAATAAATATTATATACTTTAATATAATGCTTTTACAGCCCCACTTTAATATAATGCTCAAATGAAAACCTCAATTCCTCCCTACACTGCTCGCTTTGGACTAAGCAATATATGATAGAATATGGCATGGCCTGCATGGCGACCAACAATGGCGCATAGCTTGCATGGCGACCTAAACAATAGCGCATCGCTTGCATGACGACCTAAATAGGTCGTTTGGACCACCTGGCGACCAATACAATTATTGTAGCAATCGCCCCATTTCAACAATTAATTTTTCGAAAATAATATCTTGTGAATTTTTTTTCCAATACATTATTTAGTGAGTTTGGCCATTTTTTAATTTTAATTCATATCCAATAATATAATAATTATTTATGGAATATATAATATTGTTTAATTTTAATATTATTTTAAGTAATGGATTGGGAGCTTGGCTCAACAAGGCTGATCATGAAAATAGAAAAGAGAAGCAGCAAAACGCAACGCCCAAAGGAAAGACAAGTTCACACTTTGAGAAATACATTTGTATAGGCTCACTCCAAACATTTGTATAGGCTCACTCCAACTTCTCGACCGTCTGCAGCTGCTAAACGCTTTCTTCTTTCTTCTTCAGATTCAAAATCGCCAGGCCATGTACTTATCGGAGAAGCCCCGCCCAATAGGCGTATACAAAGAGGATGGTCCCGTCGCCGCCCGTGACATGATCATCGAGGTCACAACCAATGGCGATTTGCCACCTCACCAGCAGCCTCACCCCCACCCCACCACCAACAACATCAACAGCAACAGCAAATGATCTTTGGCGAAAGCAGCGACGAAGATCCTGAAGTCAAAGCCCCCAAAAAACGAGCCGAGACGTGGGTCCAAGACGAAACCCGCAGCCTTTTTGGCTTTCGAAGAGAAATGGACGGCCTCTTCAATACTTCCAAATCCAACAAGCATTTGTGGGAGCAGATTTCGGCTAAGATGAGGGAGAAAGGGTTCGATTCGATAGATCCCCCACCATGTGTACCGAAAAGTGGAGGATCTTGTTGAAAGAGTTCAAGAAAGCTAAGCATCAAGATAGAGGGAGTGGGTCGGCCAAGATGTCTTATTACAAGGAAATTGAAGAGATTTTAAGGGAGAGGACCAAGAATGCCTACAAGAGCCCAACCCCTACTCCTAAAGCTGATTCATTTATGCATTTCGCTGATAAGGGTGTGTGTTTATATTTTTAGGCTTTTCCTCTTTGGCATTTTTAGAAAGTGGGAATTTTTTTGTTCAGTTGTTCATGGGATGAATGGTGGGTATTCTTTGTAAAAAGCTCTATTCTGGTGGTTATTTCAAGACAGATGAAAGCTTTAGTGGTTGAATTTGTTGAAAGTTACTCCCTAAAGTGACTTAAGAGGGAATTATGAATTGCTATTGTTAGGACCTTGGAAGGTGAGATCCCCGTTTCCATACCTGAAAATATGTTGGAAACAGACGCTTCAAGAGAAATGATGAGTCGGAGCATGTCATAAAGTTGCTATTAGTTTTTAGGTTGAATTTGTTTAAAGTTTCTTCCCGAAGTGACTTAAATGAGGGCATTATAATTGCTATTGGGAAAGGGGGAAAAGAAGGTTACTTTTAGTTATTTCACTATGGGAATTTCTTTGATTTGAAATAACTTTGACTGAGTAGGCTTCCAATTTTGTCGATGGTTATAATGAGTGCTTTATAAGAAGTTTTGTTTGCTTTAATCATGTTTATGAAGTTGATATTGACAAAACTCCCGCTGATATCTTTATTGCGGTGTTTTAGATGGCTATATATATATATATATGTATTATGTCTGCTCTTGAAGCAAGGTGCCATATCAAAAGAAAAACTGCATGATTTGAAATATGGTATCGTGATCAAGGTCCTTGAAGCATGAATCATGCTCAACAGATCAGGAATTTTTAGTTTGATAGGAAACTTCCAGATATGGAGTGAAGGCTGCAGATTTCTCTGGTTCTATAAAGTTTAGTATATTATAGCCTGTAAGAGCAGGGAAGTCGAATGTCAATAAGCGCTATAGGCTTCTTTGGTTTCTTTAAAGTTTTGATGTGATGTAAGGATTGTAGGCTTCTTTGGTTTCTTTATAGTTTCAACATGATGTAGGATTCTGGGATTCTATTCTATGGTTTCTTTAAAGTTTAGAGTATAGCCTATAAGAGCAAGGAAGTTCTACATAGACAAGCGCAGGAGGCTTCTTTGGTTTTTTTAGGTTTAGATATGGCGTGAAGGGAGTGGGCTTTTCTGGTTTCTTTAAAGTTTAGGAAACAACCTGTAATAAAAGCAGGGAAGTAGTAGTAAATATGTTTAAGAATTAAATTCTTATTTTGGTAGAGATAATTATCACTATTGGTCTATCGATTTCCATTCTGTTGTCTTTTGTTGCTGGATCCCTTGTCCATTCACTTCGTTCTATGCTTTCTTGGTTTCATCTGGTTTCACCCTTCACATAAACTTGCCGTTGCACAGCACTTTACAAAAGCAGTATATAAGTATTAACCTCCTGCTTTTGGAGATTTTGATTTCACATTCATACTGCAACATATATCAAGTCTTGCATCCTATTATAATGATTTTCATTATCTTTGCCAATATGGTTTGGTTCTTGCAGGCTTTGATGATACTGGCATATCATTTGGTCCTGTTGAAGGTATGTTGTTGTAATTTGAGTTTGCTTTCTTCACGTTTATTCTTGTTTTTTCGTCAAGTTAATCTGGCATATTGATGCACTTCCACACTGAATTAACAAGTAAAAATTATGTACCCTGAGGAGTGAGCAAATAACTTCTTACTGAAGCATGTCTTCAATCTATTCTCAATATCATGTATTTGAAATGTTATGCATCTCCTTCTGCTTGTGTATTCTGGTGTGCAGCAAATGGTAGGCCAACACTCAATCTTGAAAGACGTTTAGATCATGATGGACATCCTCTTGCTATCACAACAGCTGATGCAGTTGCAAACAGTGTAGTTCCACCTTGGAGTTGGAGAGCGGAGATGAAAATTTTAAATTCAATGAATATCCACTCCATATATCGACTTCTCATTTTCTTTCACGTTCTTTTTGGTAGGTGGGAGACTGTCGGTCATACGGAACCATGGATGCAGAGGGGCGATTAAATCTGCATTTAGATTGAGAACGAAACATTCATTTTGGTTGGAGGATGAAGACAATATGGTTCGCAGTCTCGACAGGGAAATTCCTCTAGGGAATTATACACTCCACCTTGATGAAGGTAACATCGGCATGGGTGCCTTTAGACGATATAATTCTGGTCATTTAGGGAATTAACAAGTTATTTTCATGTCATGTGTTTTGGTGTTTGACATTTTATGATCAAATTAAGTTGAGTCGGGTTTGGGTATTCTGATTGGTGAAGACATCATCATTTTGCTATCAAATGTATCTCGGGGACATGATTGCTGACATTTTTTTCACTGATAGAAGAGAATAACACAATAAGTACTTATTTTTTGTGCATTTTTTACCTCCTGCATTCAGGTTTGGCTATAAAAGTGCCTCTATGACGAGTCAGATCATATACCAGACCACACTGAAGAGATGATTTTCTACACAGAAGATGACTACCGTGAATATCTAGCCCGTAGAGGCTACACAGGTGTCATGGAGATCGATGGATACAAAAACGTAAATAATATGGATGACCATCGACCTAATGCTATATATCGTGGGGTGATCTGATTACCAGTCCATTCCTCTCGAGAGGCTATACAAAGTTGCTTCATCTTGACACTACATATGCATGTTGGATATTCTAATATTCGCTCTGCTGCATTATAAAAATGGTGATTATTTTGTTTGCAATGTACTAATCCGAACCGTGCAACGCGGCTGTAAATAGCTTGTTGTCTAATGTTTCTTCATAGGACACGGGATCCAGTCTCCGCCTACGGTACCAGTTCTGTTCATGCTGCCTAGACGTCTGGTGTTTGTAAATATGCACTTTAGATTAAGTGCAGTTCTGCAATTTGACCTTGAACTCCAGTTTTCAAGACCTATTTTGTATATCTGCTTCAAACATTTCTCAAATGCATGATATGATTTTAAGGGGGGGGGGGGGATCCACTTACCCCAATCTTGATTTCTAGAAAACAACTCTCATAAAATTGTATAGGTTATTATTGTTAATCTCTAACATCATGGTTCCCTAATTTTTAATTTTATTCTACAAGTCGGATCAACAATTATAACAACTCCAAGAAATGGGTTTCAATGATACGCAAGAGGCTATGGAGCTACCGCCGGTAATGACCATGCTGCAGTCGAGAGACTTTTGGGAAATCCCGGGCAGTAATGCCTTGAAATTTGACTAAGAAACTCTCCCATGTAAAGATTAGTGGATGTTGGCTTGATGCCTCGACAAACCACAGAGATTATGGGGCATGCGTGCTTGATTCTTTGTTTTGGCAGTGCTTAATAAGCAAGTAAACAAGAAAATGTTATACCCGAGAACTTGGAATTGGAAGTTGTTCATGTAGCCTTACGCATACATACTTTGGAACATCAATACATCCATGGCTGAAGCAAATGCCTCAACACCAGGAAAGATAAGGAGATCTATTAGTCTGTTTCGAGTAAAATATGTCTTTATAGTTTAAGTTAAAATCTGTCTTTATATTTTTTCCATTTTACATTGAAGCTGCTTGTAATAGAACAGAACCAATAAACATTTAATTGATAACCTCAAAAGGAATACAAGACCTTGACAATGCAGCAGAATGCTGCCTGCCTTAACAAAACAAAGCTGCAAATCACAGAAACATGCATGATTTATCTATGAAATAAAAGAAGAAATATAAGACTTCAATCCCACAAATAGCATCCATACTCGATCAAGCTCCCTGCTACTTCACATGGACACGGTGAAAGTCCTGGCCGTCTTCTTTGGAATAAAGAGTGACCCTAGCTTTCTTCCCCGCCCAATTGAAGAAACGAGTCCACTCAGAGCCACTGATGTGGTACTTGTTGCCTCCTAATCTCTTGCATTTAAACTTCCATCCTTCAGACTCGTATGTGACCTTCAAGACAATCGTACCACCAGGAGCTTCAGCAAGTGTACCGCTGAGATCATCAAACCTCCATCCTGCTTCATTGTTTCCATCAAGATAAACTTGCCCCATCACCGATGACATGTTCTTCAGGACTCTGCAGATTCGAGTTTTTTTTTTTTGTTTTCTGAAAGAAGGTAGAATGTAGCTTTGGTTGCATTTTTCATGGAACCCATGAGGGGTTATTTAAACTGTAAAATCTATGCTTTCTCGAGCGATGAGAGGATAAAATGCATATTGTTTTGGTCATCGCGAGAGCTAAAATGGCGATGCTCTGTTTTGATGAATAAAGTTGGTGAGGTGGAAGAGCAAGCAATGCATCATTGGGTAGCCTGAGAGCGCGATTTTCAGCTTCTGGATGTTGGAAAGATAGATATCTGAAATTGTGGGGAGAAAACCTTTCGACATTGTTCCAACTCGATGCTCTGTTTTTTAAGGTACCCCGGCCTGAATGTTTTCTAATTTGTTTTGTCTTGGTGTTTGCGAGAACTAACTCGTCATTTGGTAGGTGAATGAATGCCCACTCTCGAGATTTCATTTATAATTAATATTGCGCACTTTTTCCTCTAAACAGAGAAAACCGCGACATCGCTCTCTCGCCTCGCTCGCTTGCGGGAGAGACGATGAATCAGACTATCCCAGCTCATTAGGGTAAATTCTAATTTTAATCGCTCATCTTAATTCTCATTCTTACTTTAGCCACTATCTTTTTTCTTTAAGTTTTTTTGAATAATTCCTATTTCAATTACTCAGGCCTAAAATCAATAACATTAAACTGTCATAGCCTATATTTTGCTGACTTAAATTATTGTTTGCTTGCCTGGAAATCACGTCTTGGTCGTGTTAAATTTTTATTTAATTTGATTTTTAAATTATAATTATTTGTAACTTTTTTCTTATTATCAAATCTTTAATATTTTTAGGGATAATATAAAAGTAAGTGTTAAAACTATAATCGAAGTTAACTTTAGATGCTTAAATAATTTTTCATTAAAAATATGTCTAACGTTTTCAATGTTACACTGTTAGGTGTTTGGATTATAACAGTCGTTAAATTATACCATTAAGTGGCACATGTCACATTTATATTTTTTTTAAAAGGAATGATTTTAAAAAAAATTAAGAATAATACTAATTAAAAAAACTCATTTTTATGAAATTACAAAAAAAATCAAAACCCTAAAAATCTTCATTTATAATCCTATTACCAATCGTCGTCGGTTGGCCTTTGTCATCATTAAACGGCCACTCACTCGTCGTCGGACCTCCGTTGTCGAGCATCCCTTTTATTTGTCGTCCTAATTCCTCTAAATCCATAAATTCCTAAATTTAAATTCCTAAAATCTCAAATATTCAATCTCTAACCCTATATGTCTCAAGACATTGATTTCTAAAGGTAGAATATCATATACGGGGTGGGAGTTTATATACAGTAGATCAAAACATTTATTTAACGGATATTGACAATGGGCTTGGGAAGGAGAGCGACGTACAAGGGAATTTTGATTTTTTTCTAAAAAATGTTTTTTAGATAATTTTTTTTATTTTTTTAAAATAAAAAATATATATATATTGTGTTATACAACCTCTTTTAGGAATAAGTGTTTGATCTAGTCGATTCAAGAAAAAAATTAAATTATTTAAATTGATTATTTTTATTTTTTAATTTAAATCTTATTTGATTTTTTGGATTAAGTCATGTCTATTCGATTTGTTCAAGTTTTTGTTTAAATTTAATTATAAATATTTATAATATTATGGTGTTGTTTGATTTTAATTTAAGCAATTTTCTACGAACCATATACAATACACGTAACTATTTTTTCATATTTTTTTAACACACACGTATATATATGTCTAGTGACTCAACTTAAACATGAAAAATCATTCCATTATTCACTAAAAATTTTAAGTTATTCGAGTTATATTTTACAATTTAACCCAAATTTAAAATTTTCGAGTCGAGTTGGGTTTAAACAATTACAAATTGAATCATTTTTTAACATCTAATAAAAAATATAATTTTCAAAATTGAATCGAGTAACTTTTTTTACTAACAGGAAATCAAAAACCAACTCACTTGCTGACCTTTTTAGCATGATGATACTTTGATTTTGAGATAAATGAGTGTTTAGTTCCTAAACTTTCTAATTTTTCTTTATTTAATTCCTAAACTTTATTTTCGTATATATCAATCTCGAAATCTCCTAACATTTTCTAACTTGCTCTTTAAATGGATTCTTATCTCTTGACTCTCTAAAATTGTACTTAACAACGTGCATTTGATCTTTATTTGATAGATTTTTATTCGGCTTAATTTTACAAAGTTAAATTTTTTGTTTTAAAAATTTGAGTTCAAATCAAATCGAAATTTTAAAAGGATATGATTAAGGCGAGTTCAAATTTGGAATTAAATTTATAATAAAAAATATTTGACTCAATGCTTAAATACACATTTATCTCCTTAACTATACCATTTGTACTGAGTTGCTTCCTAAGTATTTTTTTGAAACATTTTACCCCTTAACTATAAATAGTTAATTCCGTTTAAAAAAATAATCATAAACCAATCAGAACACGCCATGTCACTATTTTATTTTAATTTTCTTTTTTTAAACTGAATAAATAAAAATAAATTAAATAATATCAAACCTTTCTCTCACCTCTCCCTCTCCTTCACCTGCTACCCTCCATTACCAGCCAACTTCGACCCTCCAACCGGAATTAACTATAAAGGTGAAAGATAAGGTCCACGATGGCGAACACGATGTTCCTGGTGATTCCTACAACCTTTACAAAAAACCCCGATCTTTCCCATTAAATACATCTTCACTCTCCTTTACATCCTCTTCGTCTTCATCATCTCTCTCTTCGCCACCAGTTCCATCACTTACAGCGTTTTCCACGGCTTTTATGGTCGGCCCGTAAAGCTCGTATCTGCTATCAAACCAACTTTCACTTCCTTCTTCCCTTTGCTCTCGACTTGCCTTGTGACGGAGCTTATCCTCTCTAGGATCCTTGTAATTCTCGGTTTAATCTTTTCGGTATTTCTCAAGATAACCTAAATTTTAGGCTTCCAAGTTAATTACTCTTCCCCTTATTTCCTTTCCCTCTGTAGTCTGTTTAGCTTTCCTTGTTACTTTCATGTTTATTGTGTTCTATTTAT